AAAGTTCAAATAAGCAACCTATCTTTACACCCAGGTAGAAAAGGGAGATCAAAACAAACTCAGAGCTAGAAGGAGGAATGAAAATAGTAAAGATTAGCTCTCAGATAAATATACAGAAGAGGAAAACCAAAGAAATCAATTTTAAACAGAAGTTACCTCAAATAGGTTAACAAAAGCAACAGATCTTTAGGTATATTGACTAAGAAAAAAGACAACTAAAATCAGTAACAACTGAGGAAACATAACTGCTGATACGACAAAATAGAACAATAAGGGACTACTCTAACCTAGATGAAATTCTGTTATTTAAGCCTCAGTCTGTGGTATTTTATTCTGGCAACCCCAGCAAACTTCCATAGCTTTATCCTCTTTCTTGCAAATAAAAGTTATGAAAATAGTGCCAAAACCCACAAAGTTTATAAAGTATCTGAAAGGAGGAAAAGAGAAAAGGACGAATTACCTAGGGTGTTGAGAATTTTTTTTTCTTTGTTTCTTACCAAAGTTAAAATAAAAACGTCAAAACCACCAGAAAAGACTAATGAATAGACATTTTAGAGTAGGCAAACAAGAGCCGTGGTAAAACAAACTGGAAATTCATTCAGTTGGGAAAAATAGTAAAATAATATAGTAAAATAAAAACAGTAAAATGCATTTTATTCTTTGGAGGTTTTAAAAAATTCAATTTATTGAAAATTCCAAAGAGGTTATAATACAGGTACATGATTCAAGATACTGAAAATATACTTTGCCTTAATTTGTCCCTCCTATCATTTAACCTGTTTGTCCAGGGCCATCTGCCCTCCACAGGTAGTATTTTGTTTCTTATGGGTACTTCTAGAGTTCCTTATAAGCAAACACAAAAATATATTTCTCCTTCATGCCCTAATTAAAAACACAAACGGGGTATATTAGGCATGGTGTTTTGTTACATGTTGCTTTTATTTACTTGACAATACCTTGGAAATTGTCCTCTATCAGGACATCATTTCCTGAATGGAAGTGCACTGAATGGATGATGTACTATTATAATACACTTTTGCCCATCCACATTGGGATGAACACTGATATGCAACAATCTGTTTATATTACAAACAATGCTGCAATGTATAACTTTGACCTGTGTTATTCTGCTGCTAGCAAAAGTGTAGGANGCCCATCCACATTGGGATGAACACTGATATGCAACAATCTGTTTATATTACAAACAATGCTGCAATGTATAACTTTGACCTGTGTTATTCTGCTGCTAGCAAAAGTGTAGGATATATTTCTAAAGAATTTGTAAACTGGAGTATTGTAACTGAGAGAGCATTTGATAAGATGCTACCAGTAAGATCCTTCTGAGCCAGCAATGAGCCTTTCCCTTTAAACTGCAACTTCTCTATCACAGCACTCCTGCACCTGTGTTTAAAACTGCTTTCCAACGTTTTCTAACCTTCAGAAAACCCCTACAGTCTTCCCCTTCATCAGCACCGCCCTTTATTCTCAGTGTGGTTCCCACCTCACTGGGTACATGCCTGTTGGTCTCCACTCTTCTCTGGGTGCATCACTGCTCAACTCACTCAATTAGAGCTGGAGCCAGTGTGGCCAGATAACTCGAGTGTAGAGAAATGGGTCATNATTAGAGCTGGAGCCAGTGTGGCCAGATAACTCGAGTGTAGAGAAATGGGTCATGGATGGTCTGAACCAGGGAGCCTGGTGCCCAGGAGAGAGGGAGGGCCCGTAAGGGATGTAACTGGGGAGAAGGAACGGTATATTAGGTTTTTATTCAGGTGAAGATTCTACAGAGCCCAGCCATGGGAGCAGGAGTCTTGGTTGGAGATAAATCCTTGGGAATTTGTTTCCAAATATCACAGCTGACATGGGGGGGGGGGACTCCAAAGGGAGGAGCATGTGAGTGAGTCTGCTGTGAACCTGCTGTGAGTGCCGGGGAGAGACACACACGGGGAAGGACGCAGCAGAGAAGCAGGGAGGCAGCAGCAAGCGTTCCGAAAGGAAGGAGAGCGTCATGGCAACAGGACGTGTCACAGAAGCACTTGCCGCAGAAGGGTGGGGGCAAATGGAAAGGGGCGTTAGAAGTCATTAATCAATCCTGGCAAGTTGCTCCATGACCAGCGAAGGGCAGAATCAGACCATAGGATACAGAAAGACAGAGAAAAATTGGTAGGTAAAACCCATTCATGTTCAAGTTGAGATTTTGTTAAGATGCTTTTTTAAGGAACATAGAAATACAATCTCAGATGGGAATCTCAGGATCACAGGCTGCCAGCACTGAGCTAGGCCCTGACTCCACCCAGCCTCCTGCCCTCCTCCCTCCTCCCCTTCACCATGTATGCCTCACTCATGTCAACTGAGCCAACATGTGTTTCTACCCTCCAGGTTTGTGCCCATCTCAGGGCTTTTGTACTTGCTCTTCCCTCTGCCTAGAATGCCGTTGTCCTAGAGCTTTAAGTGGTTGCTGTTTTCTGCTCATCTCGTTGGCAGCTCAGATATTCACCTCTCGGATGAGCATGCTTGGACCACCCCATCTAATGCTGGTCTTTCCCCTTTTACCAGCCCATGTGATCCTGATTTTTTCCATCATTGTCGTTTAGTCACTAAGTCACGTCTGACTCTTGCGACCCCATGGACTGCAGCCTGCCAGGCTCCTCTATCCATGGGATTTCCCAGGCAGGAATAGTGGAGTGGGTTGCCATTTTCTTCTCCAGGGGATCTTCCTGACTCAGAGATTGAACCCATGTCTCCTGCTTGGCAGGTGGATTCTTTATCACTGAGTCACCTGGAAAGCTCAGTTTTTTCTTTATAATGCTAATCAAAACTTTCCCCCCAATTAAAATTTTTATTTATAAGAACCTGTGGTCTCCAGAAAGTCACATGATGTCAGGGTCCCTATCTATTCATTTATTAATGTGCCTCCAGTGATTACAATTCTTAGTTGGTAAGTATTTATTGAGTAATGAATGCAAGAGCCTTAAAGTCCCTTTAATTCAAATCCATGGATTAGAAATGAGAAGTGAGCTGCCAAGTTCACACAAGTGATCACCTCAAGCCAATCCAGAGATAGTGAACTGCACACTTTATAGCAGAATGAACTGCCAGTGGCTGAAAAAGAAGATGGACACGGGGATTCAGGAAAAAAAAAAAAAATCCCCAAAAAAAAAACCGAAGAAAAATTAAGGGGAACTAATAAGACCAGCAGATCTTACTATGAAAAACAGGACCAAAAACTACCTCAGTGACTTGCTAGTACCTGAAGGATTGAAATTCAGAGATTCCTAGGACCTACCCGGGATTTATTGGCATAACGTTCTTCTAGGGGGGAAAAAAGCCATCTAAGTGTGTCTCCTGATATTTCATTTTAACATGTTCATGAGCAAAACAAAGACTATGAAACAAAAGACACCTTTCAAGCATATGTGGCTAGGCGATATTGATTCAAAAGTATAATTTCCTCTTAAAATGTGATTTCTGCTTCCAAATAACAGTGTCTGGACTTCTTCACCTACTACTGCTAATTAGAAAGCTGAACAAAATACATGAAGTGAGCCTTGAGTCAGAATGCTTGTCCAGAGACACCTGGAAACCAACCCATCACCGTAAAACTTGAGACTGCAAGTCACGTGGCAGAGTCCCCTTGGGTTTCCTTTCAGTTTCAGTTCAGTTCAGTTGCGCAGTCGTGTCTGACTCTTTGTGACCCCATGAACCTCAGCACACCAGGCCTCCCTGTCCATCACCAACTTACCCTGCTGCTATCCTCCTGAGTACCTCTTCCCAATCAAGTCTCTTGCTTTGTCAGCATGTGTGAGCCCACTCTAGGGCCCTGGAAAGGGTTCCCTTCCTGCAACGATAAGAGGGACAGTGTCTAGACTTCCTCACCTACCACTGGGAATTAGAAAGCTGAACAAAATACATTAAACAACTGTTCTCACACCCTGAACAGCAGGCAGTGTTAGGGTTCCAGGGCTAGGTTCCTGGAGTGAAGCTGGACACACATGTCAACCTGATGACTCCGCAGCTCTCTGCCTTCCGGCAGTTTTCACGCTGCAACTACAGGTCGAGGGACCCATAAACATTCCGGCTAAAATCTGAATTGAGAACACTGGTGAGTTGGGAGGCCAGGGAGGCCTATAATCTGTGTGGCAGGGCATTAAAAAGGAGGGAGCTTACTCAGAGAGAAAGTTTCACAGCTGCCTAATGATCCCTTTGAGTCTTTATCGAATATCAAATCTGAGGACACATAAGGTCATTCCATAATGAATAAAAACACAAAAACATAAGACATTGGTCTCACAAGCAAACAATATAACAATTCCTTCTACATTAATTTTTTTCCAAAATATGGCAATTGAAGGCTAGTGAGCAGTACACACGTAAATAAATGGATATGTTTCTAGAAAGCAATTTTTTAAAGATGTCAATAAAAACCTCTTGTCATTCCAATTATAGAACTCTACTAAAAAAGTGAAAAAAGTAGTGTGGAAATAAGTCATTCGAATACCTGTAGTATCTTTCTTAAATTTTTTTTTAATTGGTGGGAAATTGTTTTACCGTTTTCTGTTGCTTTCTACCATACAATGCAAATTAGCCATAATCACATATATATGTATATATTTGTATATCACTTGCTTCTTGAGCCACTCTCCCCTCCTTTAATGGATGGAAAAGTTATAAGGAGCCCTCTATTTAATGTCTAAATAGTAAGGAAATCGCTAACAATGTCACACATGTTCCTGACTCAATATTACGCTTCCATTATGTTTATGAAGATTTAAAAATACAGATCAGTAAGTGCATTTAGCAACTACTATTTGCATTTTGCAAAGGGTCAGCCAGCACCACTTGCAGTATACTGACTGAGACTATGGGTACACATAGGAGTGGTAGCAAAACAGGAAGGCACATCCTGCTCAGAGCTTGTGATGCAGGGAAGCTGGAGGCAGGTTGGACAGGAAGAGGGGCACCCATGGGATTGCTTCGAGGAACATATTCCCAGCGATTTGTTTCTAATTGGAAAGGATACAGGAGAAAAGAGGCACTGACCCAGACCAGACCTTGAAGCCTATTGCTGCAGCGTTTGGGGGTCTGGACTTCCAGAATGGTTGCTGCAGGGCATGGGGCAGGCCTCGTGGGTTGTAGAGAGTTTCCTCCGCTTTTAAACAAATAATTTGGACATACTGAAACTCCTCTTCGGTCATCTTCAACTGAGCAGCTATTCTGTGGATAAACTTTATAATTACAATGGTAATAATTACAGTAACAATAATAGTAATTTTCATTATCAATCTCAGTACTTCAATAACTAAACCCACATTTTAACTAACGTTAACATGAGTGAAAAAAAAAAAAAAACACCCTCAAAGTTATCTGGCCATCTGGTCGAGCTGTCTGTGGTGACCGCCCAGGTGCAGCCAAACAGCATAAACGCCAGCGGGACAAAACCGCATCTGAGGGAAGAGAAGCCACATCACCCCCACTACTCACTTCTTTCCTCCTAGTCCACCGCACGTTGCATTTCTCTCGCCAAGCGCACTCCCATCCACACGTGTTCAGAGGCTCTTCCAGGACTAGTTAGCGCCATGCTCGCGTCTCCCCTCGACCCTCACCAGACGGTCCCGTGCCGCTTTCTGCGCCTGAAACGTTTGGAGCGTCTGACCACCGCGCCCGTACAAGACGAGGCGCGCACTGGGGCCCCTCCTTGATCGCCTATCACGCTCCCTGTTGTCAGCCGCAGTGAGGAACCTGTGTGTTTGTCCACATGACCGCCGAGCGCACAAGGGTAACAGGACCACAGGCAGTTTCCCAGAAAGACCCAGCCTGGCCTGCGAGGGACTGTGAGCAGCTACCCCGGCACTAGGCCCTGGTGCGGATCTGCGCCCCACGTGGCGGTGAGAGCCGAGAACAGGGAACGCGGTGAGGCCCCAGCGTGGCCTTGTTCCGCGCGTCCGGCGCGGCTTTATTCCGGGGGAGGACGTCCGGCAAGAACTCAGGGGCCTCCGCCAATGGAGACCCACGGCCACTCCTAGGCGAGACGAGAAAACTGGAAAACGTGGAACCAGGAAATCGCGCGGGCCACGTTTACTTTCTTCTGGCTGCGAGGCACAACAAACGTTCGAATCGCTCTCTATCTCCTAGACACACGGAGCGGCCTCGCCACGTAAGCCTGCCCCTTCAAATCCACCAGGAACAAGACGCGTACTAGCCCGCAGACGGGGTCCCAGCGCACCCGCTAATGAGCCCCACGAGCACGTGCTCAGCTGCGCTGGTCAAGCCCCGGAGCTTAGAGCCGGAGGACCGCGGAGGGGAGACGAAGGCGCCTAACCGTGGCCCAGGAGAGGGACGGTTAGCCACAAGCGCTCCGGCACGAAGACCGTCTCCCTGCCCGCTCCAAGGCCCACGGATAGGGAGACTCAGGAAGATGCTGGTCGACCCGAGCGATAGGCAACACGCCCTTTGGACAGCAGCACCAGGCCATTTTATAGCTAACTGCAGATCCAATCTTCAGCAGGATCAAGCGAGCCCAGTTCTCCGCAGTACCGGAGTTATCACTGTCAGTGCGGCAGGCTCTGGAGCTCTGTGCCGGGTTTACCGGCTGAATCGCAGCCCTTATGAAGACCGCCGAAGGAAAGGAACGCTCTTGAAAGCGGCCGCCGGGGGCGCCCGACAACCGGTTCGAGCGTCCGCGGGACGAGTTGCCGTCGCCGGCAGGCCGCAGCGACACAGGCCGCCTGAACGCCCGAGCTCGCCCGGGGCCTCTGCCTCGGAGGGGGCTCCCCGCTCGGGACCGCGCGACACGGAGCGCCCCAGGCGGCAGACAAAGGCGGACGGAGAGAGCTAAGCCGCGGCGGAGAGGCCCTCCCGGCGAGATTGCAGGGCCCAGGCCAATCTGGGCAAGGGAGATTCTGCCCGTGGCTGGGCTGTGTGAGCTGTAAGCTCATTGAAAGTAAAACAGAAAAAACGAAACCACGAAAAACATTTTATTCTGTAACTTCAGAGTTGAGATGTTACTAAAGTGTAAAAAGACAAGGCTCAGAAGCCATGAAGGAAACGACTGAATATTTGACTACGTAATTGGTCTTTTAGTCTTTACCAAGCAAAGTCAGATGACAAGAAATGGGTGTGTGGAAACATTAATGCGACTACATGTATATTAAGTATGTTGATAT